TATCATAGGCTGAGAATATATATCTGTCGGCAACAACGTGTGACTAGTTTTACTCGCTATTCTCTCCGTTTGAAACACCTCGAAATTGTAGCCTAGGACTTTATGCGGAATATAATTATTTTAGCTACACATAGATTTTGATATATTCTGCATTTGGTCGTCTTAATCTCATATCTTTCAACTTTTAACCATTTAACTTATTTCCATAGCATATCTTCGAGCGTTGTCAGTTGACGGCATAATGTCAGGGCCATATTTGTTGACGGCATCATCCTCTTTCTCGTCATGGGGCCAACAACGCCAACACCGTCATACTTATCATTAGTGGCGCTGTTTTTGGCCAACGATTTATGTTTGTAAAACTTTCAACAAGCCTTTCAAGAGCCTGGCAAGTGCCAGACGAGTGGACAACAATGTTCTTGCTGTTGTTGTTGCTGATGTTTGATGCTTCGGATGTTATTCTTGCTATAAGAATGGTAACAAAAATTTCCATTCATATGCCAATGGTCATTCAAGGGATAAACCAGAATGAGAAGCAGAAAAGCAACAAAAAACAAAACTCCTCACATCTCTCACACAAGCAAAAACGTAGTAGATAAAAACAGAAATAAAGAGAATGAGGAAAAAGCAAAAAAATATCACTGAAATCTGTAGTTATTCAATTGAAAACGACGAATGGAATAAAAAACGACCCCAAAAATCTGTGGTTGGTAAAAAGAATTAAATTTTAAAGCATACTTTTGGGCATTGAAGATTGCTTTGAATGCTTGCCTGTTTGTTGGGTGGTTTGTTGGCTACCTGGCTACAAAAAAAAAAGATGCTGCGGTATATGTATATGATCCCGTCTGAAACCATTGGCAAGGGTATACTTGACTGTGTTTATAGGTCTCGCTCTCCATCTCTGTGTGTATTGTTGTGTGTGCTTTTTTTCGTTGCTGGTGGCTGTGGCTATTTGTGTTTGTGTGGTCAGTATTCCTTTTTTAATTAATAAGACATGAATGAGCAAATGGAAAAGATCTGCAATCTGTTTGCTTTTTATGTTTTCTGTTTTCTGTTGTTTTTCGGTTAATCCCTTCTTTCTCAGACGCATATGACGAACTCAATCAGAAATCCAATGTTGTGTTTTTCTCTTGTCTTTCTTTGTGCTGACGATTAAAAGGAAGTGTGGGGAAATACAAAGATCTCCATCTGCATGCATGAAATACTAAAAATGAAGAATTAAAAGGATTTTTAAATTAAAACGTATGTTGTTGGACCAAATGAAATCGCCAGTCATGCAAACACCAGCTGCAGAATTATCATCGCCGTCATCATCAAACGAACTGGGATTTTTGACATTTTTATAAAACGAAATGTGTGTATATCGATTTTAATTAAAATTCTTATCCTTCTTGTTTTATTGATTTCCTTATTATGTTTAATTAGTTCGGTTGTGTATGTCTTTAGGTGATAACCGGGGCTAATGAGGCATTGTTTGTCGATGAGTTTCATCAGTAAAAAACAGAAAGATTTTTGTTATAGACATTTTACGAAACACACATATATGCTTATCTTGGTCCCCCTTTCATCTCAATTGTGAACACTGACGTCCCCGCGGTGTCAGCTATGGTAGCTACTTTCAACATCCGTTGAAATAGTTTGCTGATATGTAACCCGAGTTCATACTGAAGAACTATTAAAAATTTGTTCGAGGCGTCAGATTAGATGCCCACACTAGGAAAATCTCTCCTACTATGAAAAAGCAACAAAACGAATACAAAACCCCCCTAATGCTGACGACCCACGCAAAATATAAGGGAACACGATCTGCGAATCTGCATTTGGAATGTGCGCACGTTGTACAGAACAGGCGTAGTTTTCGCATTGGCGGATGTACTCAGGAAGTACAAAGCCGATATTATTGCCTTACAGGAAATACGATGGAAAGGGACAGGTGTAAGTAAATCAGATGATTACACCCTTTATTATAGCTGCCCTGAAACGAGAAATGAATTTGGCTGTGGATTTATGGTTAATAGGAGAATAAAAGACTTCGTCTCCAGAATCACTCCAGCAGATGACCGAATTTCTATAATCCGTATAAAAATGAAGTTCTTCTACATCAGTCTTATTTGCGCCCATGCTCCGTCCGAAGACAAACAAAGACAAATTTTATGAGCGCCTAGAAACTGCATACAAGCGCTGCCCTGGCCATGACATTAAAATTCTGCTAGGAGATTTTAATACTAAAATAGGAAGGGAAAATATTTTTGGTCCCACCCTCGGAGAATTCAGCCTCCATGAAGAAACATCCGACAAGGGTATGAAAAAACTAGTAAGGAAAGATCAAAAGTCGGACGGGCCGACTATAATACCCTTCACCACTATGGGTACATGCAAGACATGTTAATATCTACAATATTTTGTTGATATAGAACTTTCGCATACATTAGTCGGGACCTCTGTGCAAAATTTTGCTTCAATCGGAACAATATTGGGAGTTTGGTGCACAATTTACTTTAAATCGGACGAAACTAAATATGCGAGCTATATCTAAATTTCAACAAAATTTCACATACATCAGTCGGGACTTAATTCAGTACTCTGTTCAAAATTTTGCTTTAGTCGGACCACTATTGGGAGTTCGGTGCAATATTTACATTAAATCGGACGAAACTATAAATCGGAGCTATATCTGAATCTGAACCGATTTCAACAAAACTTGGCATATAACTATCTAGACCTAATTCAATACTCTATGCAAAATTTTATCTCAATCGGATCACTATTGGGAGTTTGGTGCATCAATAAGTTAAAATCGGACGAAAATATATATGGGAGCTATATCTAAATCTGAACCGATTTTCTCCAATTTCAATATGGTTCGTCCCTGGGCCTATTATGTGACTAAATCGACTCAGAAAGTGATTCTATGCATATTCTCAAAGGGAACCATGGGTTTATTTCGATTTGTTTGCCTGTTACAAACATATGCACAAAGACACAATACCCTGTACCCAGTGTGGTGAAGGGTATAAAAAGGGGGTTATATGGGGACTACCCTAAAAGGGGGCGAATATTAATAATTTTTGGAAGGGAGGTTTGTTACCATATACGACTACAAAAAACCAAATTACAAAGAATTTGGTTGAAAACGCGCTCAAGAACCCCAAAGTCAGAACCCTCAAAATACCAAAAATTTGGGGGTACCGTTATATGGGGACTACCAGAAAAACTCCACCTATATTTATAATTTTTAGTGGAGTAATTTGGTACCCAATAAGAACCCAATGTACAAAATTTCAGAGAATTCAGTTATAAAACGAGCTCAAGAACCCCACAATACCGAAAATTGGGGGTACCCTTATATAAGGGCTATCCAAAAAAATGGACCTATATTTTTAATTTTTAGTAGGGAGATTTGCTACCCAACAAGAACTCAAAGTACCAAATTTCTGCGAATTCGGTCGAAAAATGCGATCAAAATTCCCAAATTACCGAAAATTGGGAGTACCCTTATATGGGGACTATCCGAAAAAATGGACCTATATTTATAATTTTTAGTAAGGAGATTTGCTACCCAAAAAGAACTCAAAGTACCCAATTTCAGCGAATTTTGTCAAAAAACGCGCTAAATACCCCCCAAATACCGAAAATTGGGGAGTACACTTATATGGGAGCTATGACTAAACTTGGACCGATTTTCTCCAATTTCAATAGGGTTGGTCCTTGGGCCAATTAAGTGACCTGTGATAAATTTCATTCAAATCGGATCATAAATGCGACTTGTACTTTGTTTACAAAAATACATGGACGGACAGACAGACGGACATGCATAAATCGACTCAGAAAGTGATGGGTCTATCTCGATTATTTTTGCCTGTAACAAACATATGCACAAAGACATAATACCCTGTACCACAGTGTGGTGAAGGGTATAAACATGGTAGTTAGCAGCACCAGCTGGATTTCTCTTGATCAAGCAATCAAATTGATCATGTTGTGATAGACGAAAGGCATTCATCCAGTGTTAAAGACGTTCGATCGATACGAGGAGCGAATGTCGAGGAGCGGGCCATTACCTTGTGGCAGCCAAGGTTCGTAATCGTTTTTGATGCTACATACAGACGGGAATTCGACGCCGAAAAGCTGCAAACACAACAGATAGCAGAAGCCTATTCCGCTCAACTTACCCACTTGCTTAAGGGGACCCCCCATTCTAGGGGTCAAAAATTGTGTTAACTTAATTCGAATCTACACTAATTCAAGAATGTCCCTACAAAATTTCAAGTGAAAATCTCAAGAACTCTTGAAGATATAGCCGATTTATTGTGTCAGTATCAAGTGACGGCAAGAGTGATTGTCAAACTTTAAACGCATTTTTCTCGAATCTGTATTTTACGAATGGCGGGCACGACAACTAAAAACTAATAATTCAATCGGTTTCAAATTTTGACAAGTTTCTCTGGGAGTGTATAGCTCTCGTATGAACTAGGATAAAGCCAATCGGTGAAGATCTTCCTTATTTTTTAACCTAGTTTGTGGTAAAAATAGGCGATTTTCAAAAAAATTGTTCAAAGTTCAGGCATTTTGTTAATTGTTGTGCGAAGTTAATAATCGTAGCTCATACGAGAGCCAGACATGTACTCTTTCTAACACAGTTGGAATTTTCGGATTCCGATGTTCCGGCGAGGATTTATCATGCCCGCCATCAAAAATAAGGACTTATTTTTGATCACAAAAAAAAAACAACAACAAAATTTTTTTGTGAGTTATTTTTCTTACTTTTTAAATCTTCAAATATATATGTGCAAAGTTGCAAATCTTAACAAGCATTGGCATTCATTTACCAGCCCATTTAAAAACTTAAAAATAAAAAATCGACAGGGGGGGGGGATTCCCTTAACAATAAAATTTGTATTTAAAAAAATATATTTTATTAATCATTTCCATTTTTATATATTCTGAAATATCCATATATTGTATGTATGCACTACATAATATTTGTTCTCCTTCATATAATCCCTGTTTACTTCCGTCTGGCTGCTGGTGCAGCTCTGAATGGTTTACGCCTTGACTTGGCATCCACAATTAATACCGATTGACGTTTGAGGAAATTACGGGATGGGACCTCACTTTCTTCTTCATTGCCAGCAGCAGCTACAATATAATTATTATATATTAAAATTGAAAGTTACTTCATTTATTATTATATACTTACCGGAAGCTGGTGCCTGTTCAGGAGACGATGACAATGTTCCTGTGGCTCTCTGAGTTCGGCCAGCCAATAAATTATAATAACACATGGGCATGGCGGCTGGTTTTTCTGTTTCCTGTACCGATGGACTTTTGGGTGGTTGCAGGGCCATCATGAATTCTTCCTCCTGTGAAAAAAGTACAAGATAATATGAAGTAATTTTAAAGGAAAGAATGGTAAAAAAAATATTGCTTCATTTACTTACACTGATATCCAAATCTAATTTATCTGCAGACAATTCTTGTGGGATTTTGTTCAATTCTTGGCATTTTTCTAGTTTGAATTTTAAAATCTAAAAGAAATAAACATTTTTTTATTCAAATGTCTTTATCATATATATTTATCATATTTTGTTAAATAACCTGTATCAAATCCCTATCCTCTGCCTTGTGTACCAAAAAATCTGGCAGCTCTTGCACCTGAATACTGACATCTTTGTCCTTTAGCTCCACTTTGGTTTCATTTACCTCCTGCAGTTTGTAAATCATTTCACACAAACGATCCTTGATAAATTTCAAAACGTCCATTGTCTTTTCGGCCGATTCCAAATTCTTTTCACGCTCAATTTCAAAGTCGGCTATTTGACTTTTTATGTTTTCTATGACCTCTTGGTTTCTAGTGCGCAAAAGTTATAAACATTAGGAAAGATATAAGAATTTTTGTCCTCTCACTTACACTTCCTTTTCTTTAACATCGGAAAATTTGGAAGATTCCAATTCCTTGGTCAAATTTTCCCTCAACTCTTCCAAACTATTCTTTTCCGCCTCAGCAGCTGCTCTCAAGTAATTTAAACGCAATGCGGATTCCTTCTGTGAAGAGAAACGTTCAAATACCTCATGAGGTGAGGTGGCGCCCGATACTTCCATAAGGTTTTTAAACAACTCTTCCATACTGCCGGTGACATTTTTCAGTTGAGAATTTTCATCCTCCTCTGTTTCATTTTTCCCAGTTTGCTGTTCACCCGAACTGGAACCAATGCTATCCTGATGATGTATTGTTTTACCTTCAAAGAACAATTTACGTCCAATACGTTCCAGTTCCATTTTACGTTGTTCCACCAGTTTTCGAAATTCCATAGCTTGCCTTTCCCGGGTCTTTTGTGAGATATTCGCTTGATGTTCCTGCCTTTGAAGAATGATTTTGGCGGAATCGCGCATTTCAATGGCTTCGTTATGAATTTCCTAGAAGGAGATTTGAGAAAATAATATTGTGGGGATATTTTAAGGGTTCTTGGGTTACCTGTAGTCGACTGATTTCCTGCTGCTGTTCACTCAGGGCCACTTCCAATTCTCTGAGGCTCTTTTCAAAACGCTCGGCATCATTCATAAGAGAAGCCTCAATGGATCGATACTTCTTGCGAATATGTTCGGCCTCCATCCATTGGACATTGGTACGATGAATTTGATTTTCCAGTTGACAGACTAGCTACAATGCAAAAAGTGGACTATTTTTAATATTTTGCTTCTATAAAGGAATCTTAAAGACTCCATTAATGGAGTTTTATGGACATAGATTCCCATTAAAGATTTTTCAAAGAATCCTATAATGGAGTCAGCACAGGCTCCCTTAAAGCTGACTTCTAATGCTTCTATAAAGGATCCTTCACAGGCTCCTATAAAGGAGTCTTCATAGACTCCTATAAAGAAGTCTTCATAGACTCCTATAAAGGAGTCTTCATAGACTCCTATAAAGGAGTCTTCATAGACTCCTATTAAGGAGTCTTCATAGACTCCTATAAAGGAGTCTTCATAGACTCCTATAAAGGAGTCTTCATAGACTCCTATAAAGAAGTCTTCATAGACTCCTATAAAGGAGTCTTCATAGACTCCTATTAAGGAGTCTTCATAGACTCCTATAAAGGAGTCTTCATAGACTCCTATAAAGGAGTCTTCATAGACTCCTATAAAGGAGTCTTCATAGACTCCTATAAAGGAGGGTTCATAGACTCCTATAAAGGAGTCTTCATAGACTCCTATAAAGGAGTCTTCATAGACTCCTATAAAGGAGTCTTCATAGACTCCTATAAAGGAGTCCTCATAGACTCCTATAAAGGAGTCTTCATAGACTCCTATAAAGGAGTCTTCATAGACTCCTATATAGGAGTCTTCATAGACTCCTATAAAGGAATCTTCATAGACTCCTATAAAGGAGTCTTCATAGACTCCCATAAAGGAGTCTTCATAGACTCCTATAAAGGAGTCTTCATAGACTCCTATAAAGGAGTCTTCATAGACTCCTATAAAGGAGTCTTCATAGACTCCTATAAAGGAGTCTTCATAGACTCCTATAAAGGAGTCTTCATAGACTCCTATAAAGGAGTCTTCATAGACTCCTATAAAGGAGTTTTCATAGACTCCTATTAAGGAGTCTTCATAGACTCCTATAAAGGAGTCTTCATAGACTTCTATAAAGGAGTCTTCATAGACTCCTATAAAGGAGTCTTCATAGACTCCTATAAAGGAGTCTTCATAGACTCCTATAAAGGAGTCTACATAGACTCCTATAAAGGAGTCTTCATAGACTCCTATAAAGGAGTCTTCATAGACTCCTATAAAGGAGTCTTCATAGACTCCTATAAAGGAGTCTTCATAGACTCCTATAAAGGAGTCTTCATAGACTCCTATAAAGGAGTCTTCATAGACTCCTCTAGACTATTAAAATAGGTTCCTAGCCCTAAATATGAAGTTATCATCATATCCTTTTCTCACCTTCCGATTATTATCCTCCTCCAATGTCTCTGGTGGTTTTTCACCCAAATTTTGTTCCTGTGCCTCTTTGTTCGCCACCAATTCCCGGTATTGCTCCATCAGCTTGGCAAAATGTTGCTTGCGACACTTGAAACGATGCCTTAGCAAATCCAATTGTTTACGATTTTCGGTAATTTTTAAATCCGTCAAGAAAATGGCATCGTCAACATTTTTCGCCCCAATTGGATAGCTTACCTTACCCACAACAATTGTGGGTAAAGCTGAACTAGTTTTTCGCACTTTCTCGCCAGGCACCACAACCGCTGTTGCGGCTGGAGTTTCTTTCATAATAACCGAACGTTGCAAGGGATTACGTAGTCGCCCACACTTAACAATTAATTCTTTGATTTCCTTTTTCAACGTTGAAATGGTATCGCAGTTGATGCGATTTTGTTTTTGCCATTCAGCTAAATTGGCGGTCTTTTGGCCTTCTATAGAAATGAAATATTCAGTAAATAAAACAGTAATTTTATTGTCTCCTCAAATTCCGTGTAACTTTCTTACCTGCCAGTAAAATGCGTTTCTTAATTTCAGCAATTTTCTGATTGATATCCATTTTGTCCGTGTCCATTTTTACGGGATATTTATTTGTCTGTTATATTACGAAAAATATGTCAAACTATCCTCCGGTCGAATGTATTGTTTCGTTATTGTAGCCAAACATTTTCCATTGGCCCCAACAACGGTTGCTATAAACAAACTGAGTGAGGGTGCACAAACTATTTTGTTTATTGTCGGTTTCCTTGCCATTAATACTGTTAAATCTACATAGAAATGTCTTACAAAGTTAGAAAACATTGAAAGGGATCTGCTTAAAGAAAATCTCATCTACTCTTAGAATACATATTTTGTTGTCAACAGATCCTCTATATGTCCTTCCTAAGTCCAAAGAACTTCTTTAGATCCTCGAAAGATAGATTGATATATAGAAAGATGTTTTTTTTATCATTTATAGAGAAAGGCCGTTGGAGACCGTCTACAGATCTACAATATATAAAAAAATCGATTTCCTCTCAAATTTTTTTCTGGGTAGAAAATCTCCCTACAAAAAATGATCTTATTGGTCCATATTTCAAAGTAACCCCCACAGAGCAGTACTCCAGTTATTCGGTATTTTGGTGACTTTAGGCTCGTTTTTTCAAATGAATTGGTTTTAAAATGATATGTGGGATTCTCATTGGGAAGAAAATCCCCCTATCCAAAAGTACAACAATTGGTGCATATTTCGGGCACTTAGACACGATGGAAACGTTTCTCAACAGATTTAACTGTAATATCATCCAATATGTTCCAAATTTTATTTAAATTTACTCTGTATGTGCATAGCTATCGTATGAACTAGGATAATTGTAATAATTTGTGGTAGGAAATAGAGTATTTTCCAGAAAACTAAATCCATATATCCGCCATGTTGTTACTAATTGTTTGAAGTTAATAATCCTATTTTCGTACCAGAGACAGGCATGTAATTTTCGAATGCCGTTGTTTCGGGTCTAAGCGCCAAGGAAGATTTTTTATGCAGGCATGCTGGAAATTCCTGAAAATGTTGTTTTTACTCACCAGTAAATCGAAATGAAAAATTACAGCAAATTCAATGGGAAAATACTGCAAAAACTTAAAAAATTCTGAACATATGTGGACCATGTCGAAACAGAGACATATATGGAAATTGATTCTTTTGGGGGAATTTTCCACCACTTTTTGACGTATGGGCGGTATTTCAGCCATAATTAACACGGCCTTTCGCGTGGCCATATCCACATTTGCCTAATTGTGTCAAATGGCATGATCTTGGTGACCAGTTGTTATCGCCACTACGAAATATTACGCGGCCCGGAAATGTCTCTTGCAAAAAGACATATTCGCTCGAGTTGTGTAGCATGTGACATCGTTTTGTTGAAACCACATATTCTCAAAGTCGTACTCTGCGAAAGCAAGCAAAAATTTAGGTTATTGACCATAGCGCTACGAATTGATAGTCCTTTTCGTAGAAGTAAGTATCAATAACTCTTTCAGACCAAAAGAGCACATCGAAAAGTGATTTTTATACCCTCCACCATAGTATGAAGGATATATTAATTTTAAATTTATTGATCAGGGTAAAATTCTAAGACGATCTAGCCATGTCCGTCCGTCCGTCTGGTGTAATCACGCTATCTTCTGAAGGAATTGAGATAAGGTGCTGAAATTTTGCATAGGTTTGTCTTTTGTCTGCAGGCAGGTCAAGTTCAAAGATGGGCATTATCGGTCCACGTTTAGCACTTATATAACAGTACCCCCTAATTTTCGATATTTTCGGGTTCTTGAGCGCGTTTTTCAACCGAATACGCTGAAATTTGGTACATTGGGTACTAAATGTCTCCTTTGATCGTATTTTCCCACCGAATTGGAGTAATTTACTATTTTGAGTTCTTAATAGGTACCAAATCTCTCCACAAAAAATTGTAAATATAGGTCGATTTTTTCGGATATCCCCCATATAATGGTATGGGGTATTTGGGGTTCTTGAGAGCGCTTTTCAACCGAATTCGCTGCAATTTGGTATTTTGTAGTCGTATATGGTAACAAATCTCCCTACCAAAAATGTTTACCATTTGCCCCTCTTTTGGGGTCGTCCCCATATAACCCCCTTTTTTTATTAAGATAGTTATCTGATTTGCTCCGCGTTTTTTTCACCTACGGCGAGATAAAAAATTAGAACGTAAGGTTCGATTTAAACCTAGCCCCTGTGTAGAGGTTTCAAAAGGAGTGGACCGATTTCTCCATCTTCGAATTTGAACTAAGTTAGGAAGAAGTAATAAGATGGGCAAAGTTTGGATGAAATCTAAATTTTCTGAAACGGATTTGGTCCAAAGAAACATGGGGTCTAGAACCAATATTTCGATGAGGCACATTTTCGCCGTGTTAATGTGTACACAACGTCATTAGCCATAAGGCTGAGGCTATAATTCTCCATTAAACATTTCTGAAATTTGTATTATGGCTTACATAATCCGTTTTTAGAAATGTCGGTATAGGTCCACTTTTTGGTATGTTCCCTATATTTTCATTTCTAGTACCTGCTAGTAGTTTACTAACATACCCACGGAGTGAGAAAAGAGCTTAGTCGTTGCAGAAAATTGTGTTCGAATAATTGCTATCCACGCCCGTTGTTCAAGCCCCACGTTTCTACGACGCACAGTGTCACCATCGCGAGATAAGATGAGAATTTATAGAAAACACTCCAATTAGAGTAAATATGAAATTTAAAATTCATACGTCATGTAGTTTTTCTCTACAAAGGCTCAAATCTGATTTTTTTTTTTTTTTTTTTTTTTTTTGATGATCAAATATTTTAATATTTGATCACCAAAAAAAAAAACTCGAAATGGATAACCCTGTATGTTATCCTCCAATATCCCGAAAAGCAAAATTACAGCCACTTCGTTGTCCAAATGCGCCTAGAATCTCCACCGAAAATCAGCGGTGCCAACATATAGGAGCTATTCCAAAAGGTGGACCTATATATAAGTCCTTTATTTTGAAAGTGGTTTAAATCCATTATTCTTATATTGAGATATTTAAAAGTTTGGGTCTGATTTTATTCAAAAATATTGTTAAGTGGTATTAATTTTATTTGTGGCTTTGTGCCTTTAAACATGGTAAAATATTAAACGTAATATGTTTTGTAAGTTTTTCTAAAAATCAGAATTTTTATCAGAACCTAAAATTGACTTGAACCACTTTTAAAATATACGACTTATATCCAATTGGCAAAAATTCTAGTTTAGGTGTTCTTCGACGAATATTTTGAGTTATATTACTGTGTTTTAAACCGGCTGTAAATCTCCTTTACACTTTTCAAATATGTTAAACACTAAAATAATTAAAAACCAGTGAGCGAAGCAGTATAGTCGGACGGGATCGACCATATGATACCCTACACAACGAAATTATAACTTTCTGTGGTTCTATATTCTGAGCTTGGGCAATATTTCACGATATTTGCACCCCCTTGACCGACTAGAGGTCAACAAATTTTACAACTATTAAGTACAGCCCTTCTAATCACTTGTTCAGATTCACCGTGGGTTGTGTTGTGATGTTCGGTTTTCAATTTTGGCCTATAGATCGACTCGAAAAAAAAAAAAAAAACAAAAAATAAGTTTTCGGTCCATTTCATCCCAAAATTATTATCTGATCATCACCGAAAATTATAGGCGTTGTCAGTGACCATAACTCGAACCTCATGGAAAATTTCAAAACGATCAGCGCTATATTTCCGCCCACTAGTGTGATAATAGGTTACTAAATAATATATGAATACGTAACCACCTGTAAATATTTATGTGTAAGTCCCGCATCCGCGTACATACGACAATATAATTGGTATCAATTTAAAGGTCAACCACTCCTCTTGAACATACTATCAACTTCTAGGGTCTAGGACCTTCAGGTGCAAATATATACAACATAGAATACAAATTTTGTAATTTTTCACACAAAAGTCAGGGTCCAGTTGACCCGCTAAATATTGACCGATGTTTATCAAAACAGGCATACTTATTCTTTGGCCCGATCCCTTTCTCCGTGCAAAAATTCGCGGTGTTTGGGTCATAATTGGGGCCTCTGGAGCGACGATGACGATCGGTACTTAAAAGTGGGTCAAGGACCAATATTTCGCGGCGTTACAAACTTTTGGGGCTGCACAAAGCTATAATACCCTGACAACATAGTTGTGTAGGGTATAATAATTTACCTATTTGATTAAAACTTTCATTTTTCGTTCATCACTCCAGTTCTGACTAATAGAGTTAGGGCGTATATGAGCAACATCACTGTCTTATTAGCACATACCACCTGAAAATTCTCTATGACTGTGTGACGTAAATGGAATTATTTTCTTCTTCATTTGTGTTTCCGTTACCTTTTGTAAGCAATTTTATTTCCTCTTTCCTTAAAGATTTCCAAGCCCGTTTCCCGTTTTGTCATTTCACTCTTGTTTGGTATTACGAGTATAAAGATGGCGACGGCGACAACGTCGACACGACATGTGTGTCGAGCCTTTTAATTTGTCATTAGTCCACTGGCTGTTCCAATTCTGTCTATTCAAATGTAAAGATGTGCAATTACACTGTCACAATTTGAAGCAAACGAAATAAGAGTGTTGTCCCTTAATATCACTTCAAACGGGAAAGATGTAGGGAAAATGAGAGTTGTTTCTAGCATTCTCTACTACTGTCCTTCCCATGATATAACTTTTACTTGTTCTGCAAAATTTTAAAATCTTTATTTTTCCTACGTGTACTTTCTCCTAGTTTGCAAAGTTTGTAACATTTAAAGCAAACCAAATAATTTAGAATGATTTTACAAGCATTGACAACAGATGTTGTTAACAGTCACCCATTTATAGCAGTCATATTCTGTAGTATTGCGTTCTACAAAAAAACGAGGAACACATTTTCTGATTTCAAATGTTTAGAAGGACATTTTCAGTACAAAGCCGTCGTCGTCCAATGAAATAAGTAAAAAACGTAATGTTGCCATTACAATGAAAATTTATGATAACTTAAAGTGTCATTGCAAACGATAACTGGGTACAAGGAGAATAAC